ATCCTTATCAAAAGGCTGGTGCAACATTAAAAAATGAATTAATATAATCTATCATGTTAATAAGCTGAAAAACAAAAACCATATGATCATATCAACAGGTGTAGAAAAAGCATCTGATTAAAAATCCAACATCCACTGTGACAAAAACTCTCAGTTAACTAGGAATATGAGAACTTCCTCAACTTAATTTTAAAAATTTACAAAAACCTTACAGCTACCATTATACTTGATGGTGAGAACCCAGATGCTTCCCCACTAAGGATCAAGATCAAGGAACAGACATCACCTCTCACCATTCCCATGGAACATCACATTGGAAGTCCTTGCTAGTGAGATAAGACAAGAAAATCAAAGGCATACGAATTGGGGAGGAAAAAATAAAGCTGTCTTTGTTTACAGATAATATGGTTATTTATATAGAAAATCTCAAAGAATTAACAAAAATACTCCTGAGACCAATAAGCAATTATAGTAAGTTTGCAGGATACAAAGTAATTATACAAAAGTCACTTGCTTTCTTATATACCAGTAATAAACAACTGGTATTTGAAATTAAAAACACAGTATTATTTATATTAGCACCAAAATAAATGAAATACTTGATATAAATCTAACAAAATATGTACAAGATCCACATGAAGGAAACTACAAAACTCTGATGAAATAGTCAAAGACGATCTAAAGAAACAGTTATTCCATGAATGGGAAGACTCAATATTATCAAGATGCTTGTTCTTCTCAACTTTACCTACAGACCCAACACAGTTTCAGAGCAAGTTCTTTTGTGGATGTTGTTAAACTGATTCACAAGTTTACATGGAGAGGCAAAAAGCCCAGAACAGCCAATACAATATTGAAGGAAAAGAACAGGGTCAGAGGACTAACACTATCTGACTTGAAGATTTACTATAAGTTACTATAATCAAGACAGTGGTATTGGCGAAAAAAAAAGACAAATAGATCAATGAACAGAACAGAGAGACCAACACAAATAGTCAATTGACCTTTGACTAAGCAGCAAAGGCCACTCATTCAATGAAGAAAGGATAGTAATTTCAATAAATGGTACTGAAATAACTAGGCCTCCACATACAAAAAAAAAAAAGAAAAAAGAAAAGAAATGTATACAAAGACCTTAAACTGTTCACAAATATTAATTCAAAAGATATAATAAACCTAAAAGTAAAATGTAAAACTATAAAACTCCAAGAAGATAACACAGGAGAAAACCTAGATGACCTTGGGTTGGCAATAGCTTTTCAGATACAAAACCAATGATCCATGAAAGAAATAATTGACAAGCTAGACTTCATTAAAATTAAAATTTTCTTCTATGAGAAAGAAATTGTCAAGAGAATGAAAAGACAAGCCATAGAACTGGAATAAAGTATTTGCAAAAGACATATTTGATAAGGGACTGGTACCCAAATACAAAGAACTCTTAAAACCCAACAATTAAAAAATAAACAATCCAATTTAAAAAATGGGCAAAAGATACCTCATCAAAGAAGGTATACAGATGGTAAACAGCATATGAAAAGATGCTCAACATCATACATCACTAGAGAATTGCAAATGAGAACAATGATGAGGTACCAGTATACACATATTAGAATGGGCAAAATGCAAAGCACTGACAACATCAAATGCTGGGGAGGATGTGGAGAAACTCACTCACTGCTGGTGGAAATGCAAAATGGTACAAACACTTTGAAAAACAGTTTGGCGGTTTCCTACAAAACTGAACATACTCTTGGATACAATCCAGCAATCATGCTCCTTGGTGTTTACCCAAAGACGTTGAAAACTTATGTCCACACAAAAACCTGCACATGAATGTTTATAGCAGCTTCATTAATAATTGCCAAAACTTGGAAGCCATCAAGATGTCCTTCAGTAGGTAAAAGAATAAATAAACTATAGTTCATCGAGACAATAGAATATTATCATTAAAAAGAACTGTCAAGCCCTAGCTGGTTTGGCTCAGTGGATAGAGCATCGGCCTGTGGACTGAAGGGTCCTGGGTTTGATTCTGATCAAGGGCACGTACCTCAGTTGCAGGCTCAATCCCCGGCCCTGGTCAGGGCATACACGGGAAGCAACCAATTGATGTGTCTTTCTCACATCAATGTTTCTCTCTCTGTGTCTCTTCCTCTCCCTTCCACTCTCTCTAAAAATCAACGCAAAAATATCCTCAGATGAGGATTAAAAAAAATTGTCAAGACATGGAGGAATCTTAAATGTATATTGCAAAGAAGCCAATCTGAAAGGCTACATACTGTATGATTCCATATGACATTCTGGAAAAGGCAAAACTATGGAGACAGTAAAAAGATCAGTAGTTGCCAAAACTTCAGAGGGAGGGAAGAAGGGATGGATGAATGAATAGTTAGAACATGGGATTTTCAGGGCAGTGAAAGTATTGTGTGTGATGCTGTTACGGTAGATATATATCATTAAATATTAGTCAAAGCCCATAAAATGTACAACACACAGAGTGAACCTCATGTAGACCATGGACTTTAGTTAATCACAATGTGTCAATCTTGGCTCATCAATTTTAACAAAAGCACCACACTAATGCAAGATGTTAATAATAGGAAAAACTTAGGGGGTGGTTGGAACTCCGTACTTTCCGCTCAATTTTTCTATAAATTAAAACTGCCCTCCCCAAAGTAAAGTCTATGATTTTTTTAAAAAGCAAACCATGTCCATTATATAAAACAATAAAATCTAACATTAAGAAGAGAAAATAAATCTTTAAAATTCATGACACACTTGAAATTCTGCCTGGAACAGAAAGCCAGCTGAGGTTTTCATAAGAAGAATAACTGTCACCCTGTGGTGTTAAAATAAACTCGGGACAGCTCTCTGATAACCTCTCATTTGGCTGCCCCTGAAACAACTGTGTTTACAGTAAATACCAAGATTCTATACTAGCAAGCTCTGAAATTATCTTTCTTATCTGCAATTTATTTTAACGATAGCCTCTGGAAAGCCTCCCTTTCTTTCAGATTCAAAAAGCAAGTAATTGAATTAAGTATATATTTTAAAATGTTCCTGAAAACAAAAATCCTATTTCTCTTTCGTTAAATAATAGCTCTCTCTGCTAGCATCTCCACTCCCCAGCAGAATTCATAATTCCATCTCTTCTACTCCCACAAAACTTCGTTCTTACCTCAACCGATACATTTTTCACTGTCAGCTAGCCAAATACTGAGCTAGCCTACCCTCTCTCTGTGAGCCCCTGACTACAGGGACTGCCACAGTCATTTCATAATAAGACCCCATCCTAAAAGGCATTACCCATCAAAATGTTTGCAGATGTAAGTGATGGACACTAACTCAAACTAAGTAGCTGACCTGCCAGGAAAGTGAAAATGGATTTGCTAGCTTTCGGTGATGCAGAATCTGGGACAATAAATTTTGTTTGTGTGTTGTATGTATGTTGTGCATGTATGTTTTGTGTGTGCTGTGTGTGTGTGTATGTTGTGTTTGTTTTTTGTGTGTGTTGTGTGTGTAGTGTGTGTTGTGTGTGTATGTTTTGTGTGTGTTGTATGGTGTGTGTGTGTGTGTGTGTGTGTGTGTGTGTGTGTGACCCCCTTCCCTCCTCATCTTGTTTCCTCCATCTCCCTACTCTGATTTCCTATGTTGACCTCATTCTCAGGAAGGCTTTCCCTAAGTCAGTGATGGCGAACCTTTTGAGCTCGGCGTGTCAGCATTTTGAAAAACCCTAACTTAACTCTGGTGCCGTGTCACATGTAGAAATTTTTTGATATTTGCAACCATAGTAAAACAAAGATTTATATTTTTGATATTTATTTTATATATTTAAATGCCATTTAACAAAGAAAAATCAACCAAAAAAATGAGTTCGCGTGTCAGAGGTGACACCATCACTGCCCTAAGTGGTAGCAAAGAGAGTAACCAGTGGTCCAGCTTCACAAACCCACAAAAATGAAAAATGTCTTTGCAATAGTTTCAGTGAAAATACTGGGGCTCCTCCATAAACTGATCCTGGTGACCCTGACTAGCCAGGCTATGTCAAATGCCCGTAACAGAGACACTGAGGTCACCTCTAACTCCACAGGCTAAAAACAAAGCAAGGGTGCCTGCCCAGGGAAACCTGGGTAATTTGTTGGGGGAGGAAAGGATGCTGGGTGGGCAAGGTCAACAGATGCTCAGTACTTCACAGGTTCTCAAGACTGCTGACTCGCTCCCTTCGAGTGAGTATGTATTAACTGCTATTATGTCTAATGCTGAGTTTCCCACTGAACGTCCGATAAAAAAGGTTTGCAGTGCCCGTGCCTGTAACACAATACTCGTTCTCACAATGAATTATTTCCCATCTCATTGCCACAGTGAGGGTGCTGTGCAGTGTCACTCTGGTGGCCACTGTTTTGCCCTTCTTTACGTTGTTGTTACTTTAAGGGCATTTCTTCTCCTTTGTCCTACATGAGTATCTTAATGCCCAAAGCACACTGCTGGAACCAAATGTGTTGCCAGCTTTTGTTTTGGGGGGAGATAAAAGTAAAAACTTGCTGAGCAAACTGAAGGAGCACAGACAGAAGCGACCCCCTAAAATGGCAGGCCCCCATGATCACCCTTCACAGTGTGAAAACCCAAATGCGGGCACGTCTCTGAAAGGGCCAGTGCCAGTCCTGCTTCTCAGGGTCACTGCTTTCTCTCCAAAATAAAGCCAAGATCACTGGGTCGTTGTGAGTGGCTTGTCACATATTTGTGCTTGCGATCTCCCTCTCCTCTAGAAGAGGAAGATGAGGGGGGGGGGGAGGTGTGGGGCGGGCAGAGGAAGAAGGAAGACAACAATACCCTGTACACAGAAGTCTATCAGGGTACAGCATCTGCCACTTATCTGATGCTCTCACATAACCTGGAGGATGATTCAGGGTCGTCTCAAAAACACTTTATGAAATTAACAAAACAAATTTTCCGCATCTGACACAAGCCACTTTGTCCAGCCTCTGTTATCTTACACCAACCTGATCCTGCTTAAGTTATGGTCTGGCTCAGGCTCTCACAGCAGCTTTCTTTTATGGATTTTCCATCCAGCAAATGTTTCTGTTCCACAGCTGGGCAGATCCGACCACAGCATGCTTGGCTACGGACCGCAGCAGCTCACCCGCAACAGCTCCAACCTGGAGGGGCAAAGGCCAGAAGCCATTAGAATAGAAGAAAGGAGATTCATTTTCTCTCTCTTTTTCTCTCCCTCCTTCTCCCCCTCCCTCCCTCCTTCCCTTCCTCTTTCTTTCTCTCTCTCTCTTATGGATTTGGCAAGATAACCCCAAACATCTAAATGTTTAAAATCATTAATGAGCAGAGACAACAGCTTATAAGTGTCCTAGAGACAAGCTTGGGCTATTGTGAGGGGGAGATTAAAGTATTTAATCATTATTGAAAAGGCTTGGCTAAACGATTGTGCTCTGTTTGTGGAAAATTTAAAAGCCAGCTGTTTTAATTAACCACAGAAAACACAAGCTACAACTAAAATTTCACGAGCATACAGCTCTGCCCTGTGGAAAACCACAGGAATGTTCTGGCAGGGCTCAGTCGAATTCTTGGGACACAGAAGGCTGGAATCATTCCCCTTAGGAACTTGAACAGAAAATTAACTTGCTCAATATGTTTTTTTAAAAAAAGTAAAATGAAACCCAGATTTAATCTCAGTCAAATATAAAAACATTTCAGGACTTCAAAGAGCGCCACCAAAAGACACGTAAGGGAAAGGTCATGAAAAAATTCCAATGTGGCCCAGGATTTAGACTGTATTTTCAATGCAAAATGAATGATGCCACAGAAAATTTTATGGGCTAAAATAATCCAAAGGGGGAACTAATCACCTTTCATTTCCTAATAGAGGAAAATGATATGTGAAACCGATATTCAACATGTGGTTCATAAATATTACCAAGTATATAATATATTCGAGCAAAAGGAAATCTTTTAACCATCCTACTTCAAGCCAAACCTGTGGCCAGGCCCACACTAGCTACCACGCTTCAATTTGAAGAATCGTGGCATCCAGAAAATCAGTGTTAAAATAATGTCTGCTCACTGATGCTGCAGCTAGCAATTCTGGTGCAGAAACATAAAATGAGGGGATCTGATAAAAGCAACTAGTGAACAAATAAGAACTAATAGATCAGGAAGTCTTCATTTGTTAATGATAGTAATAGTATGACAGCATCTATACATGCTAAATATTCAAAAAGGAACAGGACAAATGTTATTTCCAGATACTGGGTCCATAATTCTATTTCTGTAAGTCAAAACAGACCCTGTCATAAGTGTGCCAAGCATAATATTACATTAATCTCTACCTTCATTTGAAACCTAAGTCCCAAAAATAAGTTTAAAAAAAAAAACACACAACAAGAAAAAAGATACCAAGTTATGTATTTATGGTTCTATCCCAATTCTGTTCTAAAACTGGGTATATATAATGTAAAGGCACCACAGTTTGAACAATGGATATTTCTGGGTAATGGGATTAGGAGATATTTGTATTTCCTTCTTGGTGTTTTCCAAATTTTCTATAATTATTAGAATATTTTTAATGAGATTTTTTATTAAACACTATGGGAGTACAAATCAGAAATGGGGTGTGATACTCTATTAGCCTGATCTGTAGGCTTCTTTTTACCTGAACAATAAGGGCTAATGAATTAACAAGTCCTCGTTACTCAACTCAGTAATTCTTAATTTAAAAGTTCAACAAACAAGTGCCTAATAACACTTCCAGGCCTAACAACAGTGCTTTCCCAGAAATAAGACATTTTTATCTATTATTCTGTAAATTTGCCACAAAGAAACGAAAAGGCCCTGGCATTTCCCTCTCTGACCAATGCATCCAATAAGAGCACCTCCCCGTGTCGCCGACAATTTCACAGGGGCATGGCCCTCCGTGAATAACTACCGCCACATCCATTTCTGACACTCAGCATCTCAGAAAACACCAGACACCGTGGTGGGATCTTAACACCCGGGGACTCGGCAGTCCAGGGCTCTGAGAAGCCCAACCCCTGGGTTGACCACTGAGGATGCTGCCGCCCAGAAAGGTCCAACGTCTTTCCTGAGAGGGATGAGAGTCCACATCGCCTGCCTCCGTGCGGACCAAGCGCGCTCCCACCACCCACTGCCTCAGCACTCTCCAAAACCAGTTTGTATGAACCACCTGCACATGTTAAGTCCGTATCAGCAAAACCAGAAGAACAAGACAGAAATGTGTTCCACCGAAAATGAAATGCATGCAGGAAAAAAAGCCAAGACTGAACCGCAGGCTAACACAGACGACCCAGCACACGCTCGGTGGAGAAACAATGGGTGCAGTGTGCTCCGGCAGCAGGTGTCCTGAACTGCAGCTGCCTATCACACGGAAAGCTAGCTCTCTGGTCCCAGCACTTGCTCTGTTGACAACAGCACATTCCCACCACTCAGAGCAGGACGAAAGATTTCCAACAAGATGACACTTGCCACCAAGCCATCTGAGAGAGAGGTGGGATGCATGCCCACCCTAGTGTTGGAAATAAGTGATGTATGCCATCCAGGCCCCTCCCTTCCAAAGTGACCCACGTCTTGAGGGAGAGACATTAATGGTTTCAAAAATTAAGAAAACAAGACTCTCTAAGATCTAAAATAAAATAATCCAACTGCTTCGTAGCTTATGTCAGATGTGACTTAGAGAGTAAGCAGATTTTTCTCTTTTCTTCTAAATTCTTAATTTGAAATATTGCTCACCTCCACTTCTTTCTTCACATCTACCTACAGTGTCCAGGCCACACTAATCAGAAACCTAAGAGTATCACAAAAGGTGAAGAGCCGGAAAAACAGGGAGGGAAGAGGACAGAGCGCTCCCGGAAAGGCCTTTATTGAGCTCACGTCTCGCCACCCTTGCTACTGTGCAGCAGGACAACAAAGGCATGAACTGTGATGCTGCTAATAAAAAAGCCGCATCGAGGGATGATGTGATCTCGCTTTGTAAGAGCCAGAACAAATACAATGGCTCTATCCCAGGCATCGGAGCAGAAAAGAAAATGTATTTTTTCCACCCAAAACTGCTCCTTGCATCCCCACTGTACAGGGTGAGGCAAAAGTAGGTCTACAGTTGTGAGTATGTGAAACCCAGAGCTTATTCTTGTATCATTATTTATTAATTACTGTATTATTTTTCATACAAATAACTGTAAACCTACGGTTGCCCCATCCTGTATATTTCCATGGCTGGGTCCAGAAGGAAAGACCGTATTGTCAGTTTATTTCCCATTGATGCCTCAGTTCTAATGCCAAAGGTTAATAGCCACAGCGGGCACAAGGAATTAGATTCTTGTTGCTATTACACAATGAAATTAAAGCTTTGTGGTGAGTATTGTTCAAATAACTCTTTAAAGTCTAAGGTAATGGCAGTATGTTTAAATCTAACAGTCTAGTAGAATCAAGTCTGACCTACTGATCAAATTGGGTCCAATCTTACTGACGTCACCAAATTCTCTTTCTTAATAGAAACTAGTACACAAAAGCTATAATTAAATCGGATTCACAGATTTTGAAATCCTTTCTTACTTAAAACTTGGCTGTGTGTTGTTTAGTTTTAGCTTCAGTGAATGCCTTTGGGAAAATGTGTGCCCAGATGTAGCCGCTGTGTGAAAACCTTAAATGTTTGGCCAGCATCTTATTTATTCTATTCTAATGCCACAGGGAAGGTTTCTCCTTCTTGTGCCTGATGCCAGGAATATCAGCCAAGCCAATTCAAGACTTCTGAAATTTCTATCTCAAAATGACCTGGAGATCCAGGCAAGAATATGTTGGAGAACATTCCTCTAACTACTTTTAAAATTTGATTTTTAAAACGTAAATTCACGCCCTGACCAGTTTGGCTCAGTGGATAGAGCGTCGGCCTGTGGACTCAAGGGTCCCGGGTTCGATTCCGGTCAAGAGCATGTACCTTGGTTGCGGGCACATCCCCAGTGCGGAGTGTGCAGGAGGCAGCTGATCGATGTTTCTCTCTCATTGATGTTTCTAACTCTCTGTCCCTCTCCATTCCTCTCTGTAAAAAATCAATAAAATATATAAAAAACAAACAAAAAACACGTAAATTCACAGTATCAACAAGTTTACATTTTAAAATGTTTGGGAGAAGGTATAAATTATATGAAATAATGAGGGCTTGTTTGTCTTTTTTTTTTTTTTTTATCCAAAAAGAATATATCCTAGTGTACCCATCACAGGCAACTGAAAAGAATCTATTAATGAACAACCCAAAGTAGCACCCAACAAAGTTTGTAGCTGATGATGAAGACATTATGGCAATTCAGAAAAGGTTTCACACAGTAACCAACCCTATCATACTCTCAAGTAAAGAGAATTTCAGCTGGAGGGCCGAGAGTGAAAATTTATGCTTCCTGATGTTTTAAAGACTGTTCTAGAAAGAACAAAGGATGAAGAAATTAGCACATATGGAAGTTATGGTCCCAGTTCTGCTACTTATGAACTCAAGGCTTTCTGGGACAATTAACTTATTCTCTTTAACCTTTGTTCCCTCATTTGTAAAACTGGGATGAGACTATCAGCCAACTTCATGGGATTGTCAAATGATGAAACCAAATATAAAAACAGTAGAGAAAATTTTAAGAAACTATGTATTCAGTCAAATATTTGTTTTTGTTTTTTGTTAATCCTCAACTGAGGATATTTTCCCATTGATTTTTGGGGAGAGTGGAAGAGAGAGGGAAAGACAGAGAGAAACATCAATGTGAGAGAAACACATCGGTTGGTTGCCTCCTGCATGAGCTCTGATCAGGGCCCGGGCCCTTGGAGGAGCCTGCAACCAAGATACTTGCCCTTGATCAGAATCGAACCAGCAGAAGCTCTATCTACTGAGCCAAACCGGCTAGGGCCAATCAACAAATATTTCCTAAGAAACTACAGTGCTGCCAGACATAGTGCTGTGGATGCAACCATAAGGACCTAGATTAAGGGATGCAGTGTAATTTGTAAGAGGCACAGGGAGCTATGGGAACATGTAGGCAACCTCTAATCCCAATACCAAACAAATATCTGGTAGTGAGCAGTGGCAGATGTGGTTTTTACTTTGGGTTGTCTAACTGTTAGCTCACTCATTTAGCACATCTTTTATTGAACACTCGCCATGTATCAGGCACTATTCTGGGT